ACAACACCTGCATTGTTTTACAGACTGGTCCTCAATCCTAGGCCTTCTCATCCATCTGCTTCTGGAAAGGCCTACTTCTCTTTGGGGAGGATTTTTCCCAAGGCTTGACTCTCACACCACGCTGCGCTTCAATTTACAATAAGCACTTGTTGAATGAGTGCTTCATCCACAGTAGCAGTGGAGCATCATCCTTTTACAAATGAGGGATGGAGGCATAATCTGTACTAGTGGGTCACTGGAAAAGTCATGAGACATTTTTGCATAGAAAAACAGAAAAAAAAGTCATGACTTTTCCGACGACTCAGTATATGGGTCAGGCTTGGAATGGACCACTATGTCCACACTGGATTCCCAATTTTGAGACAAAAACAGGAATGGAAACCACATATGAAGCAGCAGCAATCATTAAAAGATTGGGATACATTGGATTAAATAGGTTTTACATTTTAGATCTCAGGAAAAAAATCATGGGAAGTATTTGAAATATAAAAAAGAGTAATACATTGACGGACATGCAGTATTCTTACTTCATTAAGCTGTAACTTTACACATTTTGTAACTTGAAACCATCATTACAACATATTTGTTAAAAAAATCAAAACTTGCTGACATAGTTAACCCTTTATTTTTTTGCTGAGACTTAAAGTATGTCACATGCATCTGTCAAACCACCTATGAAATGCAAATTAATGCAACCTTTGTATGTCAGCATTTCCTATATCACCTAATGTAACTGCAATGGCTAAAATAATACTTTTGGATCCTTCTCTTAATTTGAAATTTCTAAAAAAGACTGTGGGGATGTGAAGTCAGGTGGTGACCTTACTTCAAAATCAGTAATTATGAATTTGTTATTCTTAGAGCATAGTTTGCTGGTTATCCCCCTTACATCCAGAAGAATCAAGACACACACACATGCACATGCGTGTGTCTATTAGTATGCGTTACTATATTCCCTTTGCTAACCAGATAATATACGACCTTTAAAAAATAGAGCTAATCAAGCCAAAAGTGAAGAAAAAATAACCCAAATGTTCACTAACTAGTGAATGGATAAACAGAATGTGGTAAGTCCATACAATGGACTATTATTCAGCCATAAAAAGGAATGCAGTACTACTAATATATGCTTCAACATAGATGAACTTCAAAAGTATCATGCTAAGTGGGACCAGCAGTTAGTGTAATGGCTATGTCCCTGGACTCCCATGTAGTTGACCACAGTTCGAGTCCCAGACCTGGTGGCTTAAAATCACGCCGGGCGCGTGTGTATGAGTGCCCAAGATCCCGAGAAGAAAATGGAGGAGAAGGGATTGCGGCGTGGCCATCCCCCCTCGGGGTGATTTCTCGCTTTCTGTCTCTGTTTCTCTCTGTCTTTCTGGCGAGCACACATGCCTTATGGCAAATAAACCTCTCTTCCCCCCCCCCAAAAAAAAAAATATATATATGTGTATATATATATAATGCTAAGTGAAAGAGCCAGACACAAAAGGTAACATATTATATCAGTCATGAGAAATTTCCAGAAGAGGCAAATCCAGAGACATGAAGCAAGTTAGTGTTTGTGAGGTGATGGAGGGAGGAAGAATGGGGGATGACTGCTAATGGGTACCATGGTGATAGTTGTACAACTTTGAGAATATACTAAAAATCATTGAATTACATACTTTGAAAGAGGTGAATTTTATAGTATATGAATTATATCTCAAATTTTTAGAAATAAAATATATGGCTAACCACAAATGCAACTAAAGCTTTACTGATTTTTAAGTTATCACTGAATTTTGATGAGTCTCAATTTCCTTACCTCTAAAATGAAGAGGTAGGATTATAGGCTGTCTTTCATCTTTCTAGCTTTAACTATTAATATTAACAACTCTATTTGTTATATAGATTTTCATAACTTGGGAATTTCTCACAGTAAGAGCTTTGTCTATTGTCTGAAATAAGGAACTGCAAGTAAAGATGCCTATGTCTGTCCTTGGGCAATTATTGCCTGACATTAAGAGTGTCACTTAAGATGTCAAATCTCTTAAGAAATAAGGAGGATGGGACCAGCAGTTAGCATAATGGCTATGTCGCTGGACTCCCATGTGGTCGAACACGGTTCGAGTCCCAGACCTGGTGGCTTAAAACTCACGCTGGGCGCTTGTGCGTGCATGCCCAAGATCCCAAGAGGAGAATGGAGGAGAAGGGATTGCAGCGTGGCCATCCCTCCTGTCTCTCTGTCTCTCTCTGTCTGGCGATCACACGTATCCTATAGCAAAAAACAAAAAACAAACAAAAAATTCTCCAAAAAAAAAGAAAAAAGAAATAAGGAGGAAATCCAACTCCTTGATAAAACTAAAGATGCCATCAGGATAAAAAGCAGAAGCAGTGCAAACCAACGGAATTCAGTTGGCCAGCTCCTAACACCATAAAATAGGTTTTTATCTAAAACAAAAGTTCCCTCTCACTAAGTCAAAACCAGCACAGTTTAAATACTTACAGTTTCCACTGCATTTTTACCTGAGTTTCACATTATTTGTCACATTTTTGCAATCTTTCTGCTTTAGGCTACTCAAACTACTCAATTGCAGCCACTGTTGTAAAACACCAAATCCCCAAGAAGATTTGTATGTTTCTTAATAAACAATTGGTTTTAGTAACCAAATAAAAATGACAGATGACCCAAGCTGCAAAACCAGGCTGATGGTCAACTGGATGAGACAAAGGACAACTGCAGAGATGTGACACAAAAAGTTTTAGGTTATTTCAACTGAAGAATGAAAACCACAATTGACAAATGAAAACACATCCAGTGTTTTAACCAATGGCCAGTATGCATTTCATTCAAATCCCTGAATAAAATAGGAAATTCCCAAAGCCAAATATAAGCATCACAATAAATCACAGGAGTAGATGAAAATAGGATTTTTGAGCCCTGTGCAAAGAGAATCCTTTGCAGATTTTTTTTTTTTCTTTTTTACTATAGGGCTTGTGTGCTTGTTAGAGACAGAGAGAGGAAAAATGAGAAATCACCCTGCAGGAGCGATGGCCACACCACAGTCCTTTCTCCTCTATTCACCTTTTAGGATTTTGGGCAACATGCACATGTGCCTGGTGTGATTTTCAAGTTGCTGGGTCTGGGAGTTCAACCGTGGTCAGCCATGTGGGAATTCAGCACCTTAACTACCACATTACCTGTTGGCCCCAAATTCTTGCAGGTTTTTTTTTTTTTTTTAGAAGTATTATTTATTTGTAGTATTATTATTTTTAATTGTTATATGAGACATGTGTGTGTTCATGAGAGAGAGAGAGACAATAAGCTGCCAGGTCAGGGACTTGAACTGTGGTTGGGCACATTGGAGTCCAGCACCTGAACCATCAATGACCGCCTGCTGGCCCCAATCCTTGCATTTTTTAAAAAAGATTTATTTATTTATTTATAATTCCATTGTTTTCTTTCTTCCTTCCTTCCTTCCTTCCTTCCTTCCTTCCTTCCTTCCTTCCTTCCTTTCTTTCTTTCCTTTCTTTCTTTCTTTCCTTTCTTTTTTTCTTTCTTTCCTTTCTTTCTTTCTTTTAACTTGACCAGAGAGAAAGGGAAAGGGAGAAAGCAAGCCGCCAGGCCTGGGACTCCAACCATGGTTGGCCATGTGGGAATCCAACACCTTTAACTACCATGCCACCTGCCAGCCCTGAGTCACCGAGGTTTTTTTTTGAGAGGTTTTTTGCCATAGGGTGCATATGCTCGCCAGAAAGACAGAAAGCAAGAAATCACACTCCAAGGGGGATGGCCACGCTGCAATCCCTTCTCCTCCTTTCTCCTCTCAGGATCTTGGGCACGCATGCACACACGGCCGGCGTGAGTTTAAGCTGCCAGATCCGAGACTTGAACCGCAGTCGACTACATGGGAGTCCAGCAACATAGCCATTACGCCAACTGCTGGTCCCAAATCATTGCAGTGTTTTTTTTTTGGAGAGGTTTTTGCTATAGAGCACGTGTGCTCACCAGAAAGACAGAAAGAGACAGAAAGTGAGAAATCACCCCCCCAGGGAGGATGGCCATGCCGCAATCTCTTCTCTTCCATTCTCCTCTCGAGATCTTGGGCATGCATGCACACACGCCCGGTGTGAGTTTAAGTCATCGGGTCTGGGACTCAAACTGTGGTCGACTACATGGGAGTCCAGCGACATAGCCATTACACCAACTGCTGGTCCCCCAAATCATTGCAGTTTTAATCAACTCTTTCCTAGTCACTCCCTAACTTATTCTACCTCAGTCTTTCCATTTCAGCTAATGGCAACTCTATTCTTAATCACACCACAGAACAACCTGTTAGGAAATAGTATTGGCTCTACCTCTGAAATAGGGAATTAAAACACTTGTCACCACCTCTACCACTACCAAGATACAATTTCTCTTACTGGAATTATTGCAGATCCCCTAGTTGAACTCCCCAATTTCCAACCTTGCCCCAAATACAGCTTATTCTCAACTGCAAGTGGAGTGATTCTTTCCATATGAAAGGTCCAGTGAAATCACCTCTCTATTCAAAACCTTCTAAAGATTTTCAATTTCATTCAGTAAAAGCCAAGTCTTTACCATGGTCTACAAGGCCTGATAAGATCTGTTTCCCCGGCCTTCTCTGGCTTCTTGCCCCATTACTCACTGTGTTCCAGCCACACGGGATTATTAACACTTCTTTAAACTTGAGCCCCAGGGCCTTTGCACTTGCCGTTCCTCAGTTTTTGGCAGGGCTCACTCCTCATCCTTTCAAATCTATTAAAATGTTACCTCATTGAAACCTTCCTTGACTCATCCTCAACCCTCAGTAGCTGCTTCATTTTTCTCAAAGGCATATTACCTTCTAACATCCTATTATATAGTTAGCTTATTTACCTGTTTATAATCTGTCAGCTTTCATCAGGGTAGAGTTTTTTGTCTTTTTAATTACTATCGTATCCCACCACCTAGCACAGTGGATGCTGACTACATGTGTGGAAGGATGTGAACTCACCAGTGTCCCCCAGGTCAGTGCTCTGAAGAAACGTACGGCAGCGCTCCTTGTGCTCCTCAAGGGAACTTCTCTGCTTGTAACTCCTTCCGCAAAACTCACATTTGTAGGGTTTCTCGACTAAAAGGAGAGCACAAGTGGCACTTAGTGACGCTTAGGAGTCATAGGGGTCACATACAGATGGTGTACTGAAGCTCTGCGAAAACTGTTCACTAGAAACTAGTTTGCTAAGCAGAGTTAGAGTATTCGGATACTTCTTCTCTTTCAGTGTTGCTAGAGGGTACATGCACTTCCCAGTGAGAGACACAGAGAGAAAGAATAGAAGGAAAGTGAGAAATCAGCCCCCAAAGGGGACAGCCATGCTGCAATCCCTTATCCTCTATTCTCCTCTTGGGATTGTGCGCATGCATGCACACACATGGGCATAGTGTTCAAGTGGCAGGTTGGGGACTCAAATCACACAGTAAGCCATGTGCTGTCCAGCCACCTTAACTGCCACATCAACCGATGGCCGCACATACATTTTAATCTATATGTCTTTTACATTTAGGAGGCTGAAATAAGGTTAAGGCCTACGATTGATTATTATGTCAGAGTATTCTTTGAAAGGATTGCTTCCTGTCACAGATGAAAGGATTGGATTTAATGATTATCATTTAGCATAGTGTTTTGGCTCCAGGTCAAATCTGTTTCTTAAGAAATTTGTTTAAAGAATGGTCCTTTTATTATTCAAAGAGGTATAAGAATGAAACAGGAAGGGATTCCTTATTTTGTGACATCCATCTGGCTGTAAATACAGAATGCTGTAGTTTGTAGGAGTTAGCCACTGGGCTAGAAACTGACGGCCTTTTTAGAACACTGACAATATCTGGACAAATTTAACTCACCCTTGCCAAGTGGCTATAGCAAAGTCTGGGCTAAAACAATAAAAATGGAACTAATTCACAGAAAAGTGGTTTTTTTTTTTTTTTTTTTTGGAGAAATTACTTATTATTTCTAAAAATGTTGACATAGGGCACATGAGTTCGCCAGAGCGAGAGAGGAAGAGAAAGCAAGCTGCCAGGTCCCAGATTCAAATCGAGGTCAGCCAGGTGGGAATCCAGTGTCTCAATCACCAGACCACCTATTGGCCCTGAAACTAATATCGCCACCGGGTCCAGGATGTGAACCACAGTCGACTACGTGGGAGTCCAGCAACATAGCCATTACGCTAACTGCTGGTCCCACTAAGAATAGTTTTGATAATAAAAATATGAACAAATTACAAACATGACTTCATGTACATTTCTAAAGTGAAGCAAAAGATTCCTCAAAAGTTTACCCATAAAAGAGCCAGCAGGTTGAGTAGTGCCTAAGGCGTTAGACTAGTACATGGCCAACAGTGGTTAGAGCCATGGACCTGGTGGCAGGTGCATGTGCGCGTGTGCCCAAAATTCCAAGAGGAGAACAGAGAAGGGACTGTGGCATGGTCATCACTCATCACTGCAGGGGAACAATTTCTCACTTTCCCTCTCTCTGTCTTTCTCTGGCAAGTGCATGAGCCCGATGGCAAAACTTTTTAAAAATTAAAAAAAATTTACCTATAAATTCAGTCAACCCTTATCCTCCCAACTCTTCCAAATGCCTTGTTGCTTGAAATATGTAAGTAATAGCTTCAGTTCTCTGTGCAAGGCTAGCCTTTCTAATTTGTTGATAAAATATATCCTATGAATTTGTCAGGATTTTAGGGATGAAAATTTTTATTTTTCAAACTCCTTTTGTTCTGTTTAAAACAGAGGCTTTAAATTTGGGATTTAAAGCACTGAAAGATCCTTATGCAGGGGCAGTAGTAACACAACTAACTGGCACAGCAGTAACATAATTGGACCCACAGGGGAAAGGTCCTGGGTTCGAGTCCTGAGTACACAGGTGTGCTGTGATCTAGGCTGGCTGAGACAGAGGGTAGGGTGGGATCACAGCATGAAGACACCGTTGGGATGTATTCTCTCTCTCATGGAAAAAATAAATGATTAAACTTAAGGGGAAAAGGCTCCTATTGAATCCCAATTTAAAATGAATATAAGTTTACTATGGCTAAAAATGTCAAGTTTTTACATAAGTTGGAGTCCTCGAGCATCTGTCTTAAAGATGCCTACTATAGTTCCTCACTTGAAAAAGGTAACAAAAGAAAAATATTTGTTTTTGTTGTTGTTTGGACCATATTCACTACTTTGAAAAATGAGCTGTTAAAGAAAGAAACCCTTCCCGGGACCAGCAGTTAGCGTAATGGCTATGTCACTGGACTCCCATGTAGTCAACCATGGTTCCAGTCCCGGACCTGGCGGCTTAAACTCACGCCGGGCGGGTGTGCGTGCGTGCCCAAGATCCTGAGAGGAGAATGGAGGAGAAGAGATTGCAGCGTGGCCATCCCCCTGGGGGAGTGATTTCTCATTTTCTGTCTCTCTGTCTTTCTGGCGAGCACATGTGCCCTATAGCAAAAAAAACAAAAAAAACAAAAAAAAAAACAAACCCAAACCTCTCCCCCCACCTCAAAAAAAAAGAAAGAAAAAAAGAAACCCTTCCTTTGCCACTTATGATTTCAGATGGTGGTAGGTTAGGTTGAGGCTGACTTGTTTAATCCTAGTCTCTGAATTGTGACCAGTTTCGAGTTTGGGGCTGGGTTTTAGTCAAAGCAGAAGATGTGGATTGACATAAAAACAACCCCCCCCTTTTTTTTTTAAATAAAATGTAGTCAGATAACATCAAGAACATGAGGTCCCAAATTTGAAAATAAACTCAGTCTTATTTTTCTAGGAGGGAAATTCTAAATGTTGAAAGAAAAAAAAAGATCTTGCTTGGCCAAAATAAAGAGTAAAAACCAAGAAAGCACATGACTTTATATGAATTCTTATTGTTACTCATCTTGTAGAGATTAAAATAAGTAGAATGATCAAGAGGAAAGTTGGGTTTAAGAAAGTTAGCCCAGAATGCTAAAAAGTAACCCCCAAACAACAATTTTTACCCGGTTTACAGTTTTTCATAATTTATAAACTATACATTATTCACTTGTCCAGTTTTTTGCATGGAAAGTGTGTGCATATATTAAGACAATAATCTTTTAATAAAGTTTAGCATAAGAAAACACTGATGGCTGCAATTTTCTCACAAAAATTAAAAAGGCATTTTTATAGGGCAGGCTCTTTCTGTTTGATTATATGTTCTCCAGGGAAGCTAGAATAGTGAGGAGATGATCATCTCTATTGAGGCAGACGGGGAGCAATTAATGCCTTAATGGAAGTGTAATTAGCCCTAAAGGTCTCTGCTGTTGTAACCCTTCAGAACAAGAATGACAGATTAAAACCTCTATACTTAACTCTTTCCAGTTTCCACATAGGGCTCTGCGGAGCGCACAATTACTAGACATGGCATGCACATTTCTTCCACTTACCAGAATGTGTCCTAAGATGCCCGGTGAGCGCATCTCTTCTCTGGCATGCGTAGTTGCAGAGGTGACACTTAAAAGGTTTTTCCCCTGTATGAAGTTTAATGTGGCGGAGGAGGTTACCTTTCTGAGTAAAAGATGCCCCACACTGATTACACTGGAATGGGCGTTCACCTTTAAAAAGGACAAAAAGGAGATTTCTGATCACTAGGCAAATGGAGAAACATATGCACAGATTAGATGCCTATGGCAAAAGTTCATCTTTTAGACAGTTTCTGCTCATATTGGGATCAGCTGGGAACTGGATTTCAAGGAGGCATAGGATTTACTTATGGAATCTTCCCTCTAAGAAGAGAAAAAGCACCCATGTAGCAAGGCTATTTTAAGTATCATCTTGTTTTAAATGAGAACAAAGAAACAAAAGTAGCTCTAGAAAGTTAGACGTAAACTTATGTATTATTATTATTTCAAATAATTATTTATTTCATTGATTTATTTATTCTTTTTTTTTTTTCTTAATTTGACCAGAGAGAGAGAAAGTAAGAAAGCAAGCCACCAGATCTGGGATTCCAACTGAGGTTGGCCATATGGGAGTGTCCAGCGCCTTAACCACCATGCCACCTGCTGGTCCCATAAGTTTATATATTATTTAGGATTCATTTTAAACATAATCTCTTTTGGGGGAAAAAAAGTCGGACTTAAGTCCTAAGAAGGTGTCAAGGGCCAGAAATGGCTTCTCTTTAAAGTCTTCCTATCAGATGTGTGATGCATTCTATTGGCTCAGTGGGATTGTGTATGTTTTTATAGACTATCTGTTTAATGTTGGAAGATCATCTTTAAAACTGGTAATAAAAAACTATGTCTTTTCATCTACCAAATGAAACCCCAGTCAGGATATCTATTTTTATTAAAGATGTTATCCTGAGCTGGCCTCGTTATGCAGCAGTTAAGCTCTGTGCCTGTAGGGAGCTGGATCCCACATGGCCAACTAGCTGCAGCTTGAACTCCAGCACTAGCAGCTTGAAAAACACACCAGGAGGACCAGCAGTTAGCGTAATGGCTATGTTGCTGGACTCCTATGTAGTCGACCACGGTTCAAGTCCTGGACCCGGTGGCTTAAACTCACGCCGGGCACGTGTGCATGTGTGCCCAAGGTCCCGAGAGGAGAATGGAGGAGAAGGGATTGCGGCGTGGCCATCCCCCCGGGGGGTGATTTCTTGCTTTCTGTCTCTCTCTGTCTCTCTGGCGAGCACATGCGCCCTGTAGCAAAAGCCTCTCCAAATAAACAAACAAACAAACAAAAACACACCAGGTACATGTGTGTGTGTGCCCCAAATCCTGATGGGCTGGAGAACTGGTGGAAAAAGGATTGAAGCATGACCACACTCTATTGAAGGTACGTGCACTTGCTCTTCCCCTTACTCTCTGGAAGCCATGTACTCTCTAACAGTTAAAAACCCAGTAAATTAAAAAAAAAAGCAGTATCCAGAAATATATGAAAGATGTCTTAAGAAGCAAATCATACAATTCAACTCCTACTTATTAACTGCAGAGAAAGTTTTTAGCTGATGTAGAATACCATGCTCTCTATAGTCTTTTAAAATTTTTTTAAAAGAATTATTTAATTTATTCATTCATTTATTTTAATTTGACCAGAGAGAGACACACATACAGACAGGGGGGAAGGGGAGAGAGAGAAAGGGAGACAGAGAGAGAAAGTAAGCCGGAAAGCAAGCCGCCAGGTCCAGGACTTGAACCATGGTCAGCCATGTGGGAGTGTCCAGCGCCTTAACCACCAGTCACCTGCTGGTTCCCCATCTTTTTAAAATTTTAAAAATAACATTGGCAAGACATTTGACAAGTTCATGGTGAAGAAGGACTAAAAATCACTGGATAAGTGGCAATGCAGAGAAAGAGACATGTAAGAATTATAGCAAAAAGCAATGATAATAATTAAAAGTCCCAAATACCATCACTTAATTTCTCAATTGGCTGCATTAGGAAAATTTTCAGAAGAATGGAAAAAGGAGACTATTTACCAGTATGGCTCCGCTTATGAACCATTAAGACATTGAAGCTAATGCAGGATAATCCACACACATCGCAGTTCATCTTCCCACTGGTTGGCCTGCTGCTATCATAGGGGACAACATGTCTCTCCAACTTAATGTTTTCATATTCATTATATTCTCTCGAATAGCTGTAAGGAATTTCAGGCTCTTCTGCATTTCCCATAGGCTCTGGTTTTAAAATACTCTCATCTCTCTCACTGTATTCATCTTTCACTTTCATTGAATCATCTGCAGGGAAGAAAATGTAAGAAATGAACAATGACTGCTTTTGGAGCTATCAAAGCCACTCAGAAAGCAGAGACCCACAACTGACAATTAAATACCAAATGAAGCTAACATAACATTGCACATCTATAAAACAAGATGACACCATTAGGAAGGTTGCTCATTCTTTGACTTCAGAACCACAGTCAGAGAATACATATACTCACACATAAAAATAGATGACCGCTTTTTAGGCTATCCAGAAAATTGGAGTTAATAGGTTTTAGCTATAAATGCTCAAAACAAACATGCAACAGACATTTTCAGCAACTCTTCTTCAGTATCGGGTGAGAAGAAAGGATCTCATATCTAGTACCTGTTTAGGTGGCTGCAGCTGAAAAGGCAAGGCGATGTGCTCTTAGGTTTCAAGGAGAAAACACAGCTTTAATTCTTCAAATGTATCCAATTTAAGCCACTAAGATGACAGTTGAATAGTTAACAGGGTTTTTCTGATTTCACACCATGCTTTGCCTCTTCTCTCCCATGTACATGAACTGCCAGAACATGTCTTATCTCCTTGTCTCTCTTGGAACTGATAAAGACACAATGCTCAAAGCAGAGGAAGCCCTCAGTACTAGTGAAATACTGTTGAGAAAGATGAAAGGAGAAGTAATTCTTTAATATAACCTAGGGAGCCACTTCCAGCAACCCAGGTAAAATGGGGCTCAACTTAAGCAAGTGGAAGAGCATCTACACCCAAGTTAGGGAGAATTAAATTCAAGAACCCAAGATTAATGACAGGGTTGGATAGGAGAGGAGAGACTGGCCCAAGAGAGGTGGCTGACCAACACTGTCTTAAAAAGAGTTGTAACACCATTTTTTAAAAAAGAATTATTTATTTAATTTTATTTATTTATTTTAAAATTTGCTATAGGGCATGTATGCTCATGAGAGAGACAGAGAGACAGAGAGAGACAGAAAGTGAGAAAGCAAGCTGCCAAGTTGGGGACTCGAACCATGACTGACCACATGGGAATCTAGTATTTCAATCACCATACCACCCTCTGGTCCCAAGCTGTAACACTCTTAAGGGAAAGAACATAAAACAAAGAAGGCAAATTCATGTATTAATACTAACAAAACAAGAGGAGTTGCCTGATGTAATAATAACGAACATTTGTAAGGGGTTTTTCATATATAAAATATTCTATATAAATGCTTACTTTTTCAAACATTGGCTCTTAGGGATCAGAAGTTGTACTTCCCCAATGAGGAATCACAAATCGATGGAATTTAGGGCCAGGAAGGAATTTAGAGCTTATTAACCATCTCTCCTGTTTCTCAGATGAGGAAATCTGGGAGCAGAGAAGTTTTCAGTGATTTGTCCAAGGTTACACAGCCAGTTACTGGCAGAGTTGTGATTATGATGCTAAATTTTTTTTTTTTTTGGAGAGGGTTTCGCTATAGGGCGCGCGCACTCGCCAGACAGACAAAGACAGAGAGACAGAAAGCGAGAAATCCCCCCCAGAGGGGATGGTCTCGCCGCAATCCCTTCTCCTCCATTCTCCTCTCAGGATCTTGGGCACACACACACACGCGCCCGGCGTGAGTTTTAAAGCCACCGGGTCCGGGACTCGAACTGCGGTCGACTACGTGGGAATCCAGCGACATAGCCATTACGCTAACTGCTGGTTCCCTACAATGCTAAATTTAATCCTCAACTATCAACTTCTTGGCTTTGACCTCACACATTAGATATACAAGGTCTTAGTGGCTTCTTACCAACCATATTCCATATCTTCCCATCAATAGCGTAGATGCTAAAACTCAAAACACTCTGGGAAAAAGACATTTTTAAAAAAACTACATCCCTTCAAAAAAACATCAGTAAGTGTTGCTCCTATTGCCGCATAGGAGGAAGTATAACTGCAGCTGTGCCTGGCTTGCTACCTTCAACCCAAGTTTCAATTTTCACTTCTATCAAGGTTACCTTTCATCTATATTAACTGTGTTTGCTTAATAGAGCAAGACAGGGCCTAACCACGACAGAGGAGCGGTGGCTGCGACACTGTTCCACTGCTTCTCACCACAGTTCATGGTTCACAACTTTTCACTCTTTGACTTGCAGAGAAGTAAGGCTGTAGGATAAGTCTGATATGTTTCAAATTTGCCCATTCTATGCCTCTGGGCTATATATAAATGGATATCTATTTCCTACTTGGAAAGAAGTTCATTTCCTTCTTTCTCTGGATAGGTTTTGCCTGCTTTCAGAGGAAATTTGTTTGCTTATGGAGTTTTACTTTTAAAAACTTTTTTTCTTTTTTTAAGTGAAGGATGCACCTGAGACTTGTACCCTCCTCCCTTCCTCCATCACTCCAGCTGCGGGTGATATCCCACCAAAGCTTGAGTGCTCTTCAGTTTGCATGTAGGCGTTTAAAAGAACCTCAACGGAAAACTTCAGCTGCTGAAAACCAGAAACAGCAGATAGAAAGGGCCAGCAGAAAAGGATCCTTTTCATTTTGGTTACAAAATGTGAATTCAATCAGATTGAGACCACTCCATGGTCAGTGAACTTTTAAAAATAGTAAGATCAATGTGTTGAGACTTTTTTTTTTTTTTTTTTTTAAGAGAGAGAGGTTTTTCCTACAGGGCACGTGCATTCACCAGAAAGACAAAGAGAGAGACAAAGGACAGAGAGAGAGAGAGAGACAGAAAGCAAGAAATCACCCCCCAGGGGGGATGGCCACGCCGCAATCCCTTCTCCTCCATTCTCCTCTCAGGATCTTGGGCACGCATGCACACGCGCCTGGCGTGAGTTTAAGCCACGAGGCCTGGGACTTGAGCTGCAGTGGACTACATGGGAGTCCAGCAATATAGCCATTATGCCAACTGCTGGTCCCAGTGTGTTGAGACTTTTTGATACCAGAGTTCCTTTCCTCAGGATTTTGACCTTACTAGACCTGATTTGCAACTCAGTACTGTACCAACTTGGTTCAAAATCACATCTTGGCTTTAGTACTTTAAGACTTAGCTGTAGAGCAAGGAAGACAGTATTAGAGACAGAAGGCCATAATGGGAAGCGTAAGAATCACAAGGGGCCAGCTGGTGGTGGTGGCACAGTGGTTGAGGCACTGAATCTCACATGGCTGACGGTATGACTGGAGTCCTGGACCCGGCAATTTGCAAAACACACCGGGCACATATGCATGCATGCCAAAATCCCCGGGGGAGAATGGAGAAGGGATTACAACATGACCATTGCCCCTAGGGGGTGCTTATTCATTCTTCTTTTCTCTCTTTCTCTCTCTCTCTGGTGAGTGCACGTGCCCTATTGCAATTTTTCTTTTCTTTTCTTTTCTTTTTTTTTTTTAAAGTCACAGGATAGGGCATTAAGGGAGTCCCTCAGACTAAAAATAAATCCTGGTATAGTTGCAGTTTGCCTTTGGAATTTACCAGTTTTAGGTAAAGGATGACCTAAAACTGGATGACCTCTCTGCATGGTTACTGAGGATCAGCGATTTATTATAGTTTCCCATGTGAAGGTAAACAGAGTTAAATATTGGAATACATTAAACTCTAAGGTGCAGATGAAATTCCCAAGAGATTATTTGGTTTAGCATCGAGCCTCCAAATGCAGTCCATCAAAATAACCAAGAAACTAGTCTACTCTAATGAAGAGATTCCATTCTATGGAAGGCAGGTTTACTAGGGCATAGGAAAGTGGGTGTCTACTTGTTATCCTTAGAAAATATTAGTAAACACATTCTAAAATCAAGATTGTAATTTTTGAACCCAAACTTGCTTCTAATGTATGATTTATTTATAAATGCATCTTCCTTCTTCCAGTCTCCAAGACTTGAAACAAAAATCCTTTCCCTTTCAATATCCATATCAAGTCAGTCTCCAAAACCTATTGGCTCTCTAGATGTCAATGTCTCTTTCTTCCTCTTTGCATTTTTTTTAATATATAAATTGCCAGAGGGTGTGTGTGCTTGTCAGAGGGACAGAGAGAAAGCACTCCTTCAAATGTGTGTGGTCATGCCACAGTCCTTTCCCCTCATTTCTCCTTCCCATCAGAATTTGGCCATGCATGCACATATATCCAGTGTGTTTTCAAGTTGCTGGGGCTGGGAGTTGTACAGATCTACTATCATGTGGATCTGGCTCCTTTAACCCCAGGACTACAGGGCTGGTCCTCTGCAATTTAATTTCGTCTCTCATCACATCATACCTAATAATATTCCTTTCTAGACAGATGTACTACAAAGGTAATCTACACTTTCTGCCTCTACATCCTTAAAACTGACTCAAAATTCCCTGTAATCTGGTTTTGCCTCCCTAATTCACAGGATATGCCCCCTCTGAAGACCATCCAAAGCCTTCCAGATGCCATTCTCCCCACCTTCTCTGTAGTCTTTGACATGACCATCATTTTTTTTTTTTTCTTTTCTAAGGTTTTTGCTGTAGGGCATGTGTGCTTGCCTGAGAGAGACAGAGGGACAGTGAGAGGAAAAGTGAGAAATCACCCCCAGGAGGATGGCCAAGCAGCAATTCCTTATCCTCCATTCTCCTTTTGGGACTTTGGACATACCTGCACGTGAGCCTGGCGTAATTCTTAAGCCGCTAAATCCTCCATTCTTCTCCTGGGATTTTGGGCACACATACCTGGCATGATTTTCAAGCTGCCAGGGCTGGGACTCAAACCATAGTTGGCCCTGTGGGAGTCCAACATCTTAACTATTAAAGCACCTGCTTGTCCCTCCTTGTTCTTTTATACTCTCATTTTTCAATGAAATTGTGCCTCCTTTCCTTACCTTTCTGATTGCTTCTTTCTAGCTCTTTTTTTTCTCCCTCTGCTTCCTAAATTCTGTCCTTGGTCCTCTTTTTCTTTTTTCTAACCCCGTCTCCTGTGCCAATGTCATCTTAAGGTTTCAACTATCTATCTCTCTCTCTCTCTCTCTTTTCAGCCCTCTGTTTCCAAAGGTTTCCTAGGCATCTTTCCAATTACTCAGGCCGAAATCCTT